TGAAGAAACTCATTACAAGTAGCAGAGGACACATCCATCCAAGCAGCAGTAGATGGATAGTCTATGACAATTGTTTTCAATAAGCCTGGAAAAGTATTGAGCTCTAGCAAGTTTGATAGCACTTTGATAATCTCTTAATCGCTTTTTTAAAATGTCCAGCGAAATCTGAAGATGATCTTTTTTCCACTTCTGCTCAGCCTGCCTACATACAAGTTTAAGTGAACAGGTGTTAAGTGTGATCACTACATCCACTTTTCCACTTTCTTCCCATGGTGAGGAACGATCCCCTCTTTGAGCTTGGGGCAAAGACTGAACTCTCTTTTCCCTCATTGTGACGTAAGGGGGCTTTGGTTTGGCTCCTCCAAGATCATATCTTTCTTCCTCATCTCCTGTTCTCCTAGGAGTAGACACCTTACTGGACCCAGGCATGGGATCGAGGGAGCGATACTCTCTTGAATCAAAGAGGTCAAAGCCCTCTCATTCTCCAGCCTTTGCCCTGTCGTCCATCTCACCACACTGCTGGCCCTCCTCTTTTTCAGCATCTGTCAATATTTTCACAATCTGGTCATGCAAACCACTTAAAAGTTTGCGGGCCTCTCCCTGTGGGAGATTCAGTCCTCACCAGTAAGTCTCTGGCAGATCTTCTAGCCCATCCTGCAGGTCCTCCTTGTCCTGCTGTCAAAAACTGGCTGCTTTTTTCAGCTCTTCTACTGGATAAATTGACTTCTTTTCAGATTTCATGACATAGTCACCTCTGCACCTTAACTGTCGCACAGGCATCTGGGCAGCATACGGCGGTGACTGATCTGTTCCCCGAACTAGATTCTTTTTCTGTTCAAGCTGTTCTTTGACATATTTGACCGTCTTCTCTCATAACAGTTTTGCATGGTTAATAAACAATTGGATGACAGCGAGTTCTCTTTCGCACTTACGCACACGCTTTGCAGACTTATCTTTAGCTTTATGGTTCTTTATAACAACCTCCATTTCACAACATTGATTGAGATCACATGTTCCATCTCATGGCCAGGGTGACAGGAGATTTTGCTTTCGGCTGTTCCACTTTTGTGATAAATCGTCATTTTCCTCGGCCAGCAAAGGGTTTTGCTTACCTAAAACTACCACTGGAGACGTGCTCTTCAGTTTTCCAGACTCCATGACCCTGCCCAGTTATGTTATATGTCTGTAACAAGATATCTGCATATTTATATACTGCAATAACCTATTTAATTAATGACCACACCCCAAAATTCAAATAATGGGATATGAAAAACCTAATAAATGGATAAATATGAAAATGCAAATAAACAGCTGCAGCCGAAAACCAAATTTAATTACTTAAATCAACTCCTTCAATGCTGCTATATTACAGCTGCTGTTCTAGCTTTCCCAATTCTTCTTGTATTTTAAACATAAATGAGCATAAATGTGCATATACTATAAATATAAATGTGCATATAAGTCTAAATGAACATATACAACATGTGCCAATTAACAGAAATAAAGAAAATACTTTTATTTTAACCCACAGCTGCTTTAACTTGCTTTTTTTTTCTTTCAGTCTTGTTTGAACTGTTCTCTCCTGTCTGTGCTTATTTGCACATCAGACATGTAGCTCACACAGAAACCACTGAAGTGCGGGGGGAGGCAGAGCCGCAGCCCTGAGCAAGCCGCTACTTCCAGTTGGTGACAATGGTGAGGTAAAACTCCCTTTAACGGAAGAAACCTCCGACAGACCCTGGCTCTTGGTGGGCGGCTTTCTGCCTCACCCTGTTGGGGTGAGTGGATAGAGGAGAGAGAAAGGAAAACATGCAACCAAGCTTTCTTGGTGGACTACTTTGTAAATTGAACACTATTTCTGCCCAGAGGTCCTCATAATCAGAGATAAATGTAACAGTGCAGTGATAATGGAGTTTCACAGCCCACTGTACTGGGTTTTTGGTTCCTCCAATATTTTCACCGGGTTTCTAATAAGCAATGACATTTCCCTCACTTGTGTCTTTTTCTTGTGGACTAACATAAAACCTTTAGCCTGATGATATTTGTCCCAGTCAGGGACTTGTTTCATAAAAGGCTTCAAAGTGATACTACCTTAATTATTTAATGGATTCAATAAAGTTGATTATTTACCAGGGTTTACAATGTCTAGGTAAAGGTTACGTCTGCGATTGCAAACTCAGTCATATGCTTATAGTTTATAATTTATTAAAATGTTAATTGTTTAATAACATTAATAACATTTATGTATATTCTTTGCATGTGTTTGTTTGGTCTCATGTGTGTTACATGTGTTTTTGAGAAGTCGGCCTGGAACCAGCAGAATGAGGCCTCACAAAAGGGTCTCAGCACACGGGGAGTGAGAGAGAAGGTCTGTAGGCCTGCACATAACAGGGGGGCTCTCTCCCCTTTCAGAGTAAAGGTCTTAGTCTTTTCTCTTTGAGATTCTGTCACTTTCGCCATGACAGAACGTGTATGATATGTATGTGTAAAAATATGATGCAGTGGAGTTCAGACTTTTATGCTAAGTAGTCACAGAGCCTTATTATTTAAAGCCAATTTGACCACATATTCACATACATAATTAAAGAAGCTGAGCTTAAGTAGCATTAGTAATTAGCATCTGGGGGTTTTCAGTTTATCAGCACTGAACACATGCACTAAGTTGCCATTTTATTAGGGACACATAGCTAAACTAATAAAACACTCCTGCAATAGACCCTGCCTGCTTGAAGAATTCAATAATCCGCTTTTATTGCAGCTGATTTACTCATTCAACCTTTTGGTCATTTTGTAACCTATTGCATCATACTGGGCTGTTATATCCTTCACATTCAAATCAATGAGAGTAAGCTAATTGCTGAGTGTATTTTTTCCATGAATTCATTCCCCTCCTGCCTGATTACGCAATTCAGAGACTGGTGGGGGCTGAGGAAAGAGCAACAGCCTGAACACAGGGAAAACATCCACACAGATGTGCTGGGTCAAGGATTTAACCTGTACCTCTAGCATGAGGAGACTAGCTAATGAACTGTGCCACTATTTTAATATCAGTGTGACTTCAGACAACAAATCTGCTTTTTATCAGTCTCAAACCACAAAAGGGCTGTGACTTTATATCAATGCCAGATTCTAAAAACCTTATCTGTTTTTCTGGCTATTAGTTTGATGTATTACCTTCATTTTCAGATTTCCCATAAAGATGTGTTTGATCATGAGACCTGCTACCCCTCTTGTACACTTCACTTTAAAGGGTCTACTTCTTAACCTGAGGTATATATTGTTTCTATGTGATTTAGATTACTTTGTCATTTCCATGTCCTTATATACACAAAAATGAAACTACTTCTTCACCAACATCACAGTATCTATTAAGAGCAGAGCAAGATTTGATTTGATTTGATTTGATTTATTCTTTCAAACATGCAGAACAAATGACATCAACACACACACATAATTACACAAAGCCAACCACTGCTAATCCAGAATCAGTTTGCTTATACCCAGCACATGTGTTAATGGAGTAGGAAGATAATAATAAATATCACTAAAAATAGATAAAAAGTTCAAATAGAAAAAAAGTGTCTCGTGCTCATTATCTAAAAGACCAGCAAGTGAGTGATATGGCGAAAGTGACTAGGGGTCACATGCTTTTATAAGTCCGAGCGCTTGAGGGAAGAAGCTGTTTGTCATTCTGCTTGGACCGGCCTTGATGCTCCTGGATTTCTTTCCTGATGGCAGCAGAGAGAACAGAGTGTGAGATGGATGGTATGAGTCCTTCATGATGTCGATAGCTCTGGCAGCACTGGAATGAGAGTGAGCTCCACTGTGATGTGGATGGAGAAGAATCAGGTATCTTTTCTGCTGACCTCACTATTCTTTTCACACTATTCTTTGCTGGTCTTTCATTTTACAGTTGCCAAACCAGGAAATGATGTTTTATTTCAAGATACTTCCCACAGTGCCCCTGTTAAAAGCAGTTAGGGCTGATGTAGGGAGGCCTGCCCTCTTCAGTTTCCATGTGTATGTTTGGGTCAGCCTGAATGATCCATTGTGTCCTAGAGAAAATCTGTCAGAGCAATAAATAAATCAGGCAAAATTCAGAGAAAAATTCTGCAACCGAATGTTTGGCAGAATTTAACAAAAATGTGAGACGAGAGGAGCGGTGGTGTATATACAGGCTTATGGCTTGTACAGGAGGATTTAGCAGTGCACACAGTGGTACAGTCTTTCATAAAAAACGTGGAGTTACCTGCAAGCAGAGGACTGTTTTGCCCCCTCAACAACACACAGTAAGCACCCCAGTACAACAGCACCATGCTGTGGAAAGATTAAAAATCAAGTAGCTCATAACTAGTAGTTAACCACTTTACAAATATGAAGCAACCAATGTAACAAAGATCACCATTAAACTTTGTCAACAAGAAGAAAAGTATCATCTGTGACACAGATGACATTTACGAATTAGAAGAAGAAGCATCTCCACATTAACCCACATCACCATGGAGGTGTGTGTGTTGATCCACGGTGGAGGACGTATTCAGATTCTTTACCTGACAAAAACTAACAGTCTACAAAATAAAAGAGAAAAATGGCTACACTAGATTCACACTATTATATATATAATATTTTGTATGATTATACACAAGACTAAGTAACACAGTTGGTTGAGATGCAGTGGTGGTGAGCGGTGAAAGAAGACATGTCCACCAAGACATCGCTTCACCACTGCCCCAAAAGGCTATTTGAAATTTTCAAGCAAGCAGTCATGATTGCAGAGGCCAAAGCAAAGAAACTTATTTCAAATGTTAAAACTAAATAAAAAGATATGACTTTTTAAAAACCATCAACAGCTGTCCTACAGTTATAGTTTTTTTTTTCACCCAAAAGGCCAAAACCAGCATCACACACACTTTAATTAAATAACTGGGTCACCACCACAGTTGCTCCTACAACCTCTGCACAGACTTCTTTACTCTCCCTCTCTGATTAAGATATGGCTATTAAGATAAGAAAAGTGCAAACCAACTCAGTAATGACAAACAAGGCAGTCTTGTGAAATGGAGATGATAACGATCAAGGTTTAGTACATTTTGTGCTTGAAATATTTCATGATTCTGCTCTACCCAAGGGAGGAGCTGTTTACATTGCTAGCAGCTAAAGGCAGTTCTGCTAATTAGGAGATACACACAGACAAAGAAACAGGACAGGAAACATTTTGTCAGGACACTGGCAAGGAGGACACCATTTGTTTTAAAGTCATGGAGCTACTAGCTGTTTTTCTCCAGTCCTCCAGTTCCGTCTCCCTGCTGGGGACTCTGGTGGTTCTGCTTCTTCTCTACATCATGTCCTCCTCCAGATCCAAAACTCAGGAAGACAGGAAGGATCCTCCTGGACCAAAACCGCTTCCTCTCCTCGGTAACCTGCTGCAACTGGACCTAGAGAAACCATACAACACATTTGTGAAGGTGAGGAAGTGACTGCAGTAGTTTGTGTTGTGGGGGCGACAGTGGTGCGGTGGGTAGAGCCAGAGGGTTGAGGGTTCGAATGTGCAGTCCACATGTCAAAGTGTCCTTGGCCAAGACACTGAACCCTCCAAGTTGCCCGTGATGGCAGTGCATATGCATGCAGTGGCCTGGGGCCATCGGCTCCAAACAAAATGTTGTCGTACGCGTTACAATAAAATAAAGCTTCTTCTTGTACGGCAGTTTGTTGTGTCTGCTTCTCAGACAGATTGATCACAATGCGCATATGTGTGATAAAGGCATTACATTATATCCCTGCTTGTAGCTTTCCAAGAAATATGTGTCAGTGTTCACTGTCTATTTGGGAACCAAGAAAGTGGTGATCCTGGCAGGATACAAGACAGTGAAGGAGGCACTTGTCAACCATGCTGAAGCGTTTGGAGACAGAGATGAACTCCAAATTGTAAAAGACAATCATGGTAGGCAAAGACAAAAGCTGAGCTTTTTCTAAATCATTATCTTTTAACTGTTTATGACATTTGGCCCTTAATATGGTAACTATTTGCAGTATTTTGTTGAAATACTT